CCCATTGGTGTTGACCCACGGCCAGTCCTTCAAAGCCTGAGCCCATGAACATGCGCTCGCAAAAACCCGACTTCTGGCCAGTTGCGACCCTGGCGGAAAACAGGACACCCTGCATGGTGGGGAACTCAAGCGCTAGGAAACTCTTAATATAAATTTACATCATCCCTTTTCTGGCCCGGCGCCAAGCAAAAGCTTGGGAAAACCGCACTCTACCTACTGCAAAACTATAGGAATACGTCCGAGAAAAGTGTCTTGAATGTAGGTTCAACCCCATGGCAAGCATAGTATCTGTTTGTAGTCAAAATGGTCCCTTGCAGGCATAGCAACCTTGACAGCTAATTCGGTATGCGCATTCTTTGGGACTACGTGCGGATGTATGCCCACCAACCCCCCCTGGGTGTTCTTTTGGTTTCCCCCAAAAATCAACTAAAAGTTCGTCTATTTTGAGGCCAGCGCACGTGTTTGGACATAGTTGTCAGCCGATTTTTGCCCAGTTCCCCGGGCGCACGTGTCGGATGCCGCGAGGATGCGAGGCCCGTCCACGTCCAAACCCTCAGGGAGTGCGAATGAGCACCTTGAGACTCTGAGACCCTGCAGAACTTGAGCTGGTGAGGGGGCAAGTTGTGTTTTCCCAACTTAAAAAGTGAACGACAAGGCCACGACTCATTCCAAAAAGACAAGAACCCCCCCCCAAAAAGAAGGTGAACGACAAGGCCATACTCAGCTCAAAAAGACAAGCAAAAAGGGGATGCTGAACAAAAAGCCGAGGTTTTGAAGCAAAGCTGCGCTTCCTGGGGACGAGTGGGAGACACAGCCGGAAGGTTTCGCGTTGATCTCTGGCCGGCATGAAAACTGCTGATGGATAAACAAAAACACGTCCATTCCATGTCGCACGTGCGGGGGTGGGCAAACCCCATGCCGGAATAACCCACCGGTGCAGGAATCTATCCATCCACAGTGCTTGCGAAATTGCGAGCTACTGATGAGGTTCTGAAGCCAGCCAGGTTGGACTCCCAGTTCTTGCCCTCAAGCCCGGAAGGTCACGTCCTCCCACATTCACCGAATTAAAGGTCGGACAGTGATGCTGGAACGGAAATCCAGGATGAATAGCCCCAAGGAACAGGGCCACAAAAACAACCAGCATTTCCACGTAGATAAGATAACTTGCAGTTGGGATAGCTTGGTTCCCGCCATGTCACCTGATTCTCACCCGAGCCCAGCCGAGCTCCAAGGCCCGGGCGCTGGCCACACTGGAGGTCTCGGACTCCATGTCCAGGTCAGCCAGCGCCCGCAAAGGAGGACCTGCCGTGGGGGAAACTTTGTTCTTTTCTGTTTTCTTTTGTTTTTTGTTGGTTTTTTTTGTTTGGGGGGGGGGGGGCGAAAGGGGTGCGCCTTGGGGTGGGGCTGGGTGTTTTCGTTGCTTTTCTTTTTTTGTTGGGGCATTTTTAGATATGAAGATCGCCTTGGAATGTTCAATTGTTAATCTCCTCTGGGGGTGCTGCTCTTGAAAGGGCTTTTTGTTGTTTGAAAGGCGGACCAACGAGAAAGGGAAAGTATTCTTAACGGTTCACACCCCTCCATTGGTGGGAGGGGAGGGGACTTGGGTCCCCAATTGAAGTTACCTAGTCTTTCTGAAGCTTGGGCGGACTCAACCCAGGCGAACTTTTAAACATCAACGATGCAAACAGTTGGGCCCAACAGGATCGGACTCTGGCCCAAAGGCCAGGTTCTCTTCTGCTCGCGCCGTTCGAAGCTCCGAGGGACACCACACCAAAGGAAGCTTGGGTGACAAAGTTTAGGTAGGCACACTGTGGCGGACATCCTTTACAGGGGGATGTATGCCCTTCACTGTCTTAGCCTGCTGCTCATGTCACCCTTACAATAAGCGAAACACAAGGGTTTGTGTCAACATAGGGCCCCGATGAAGCCAACCCAGAAACTAAAACGACACACACACACACATGTATATAGAAAATATCTATACATATAAATATATATACATACCTGAGGCACCCAACGTGCCCTTTTTTTTAGGTACGAGAAAAAAACGCTCGAATTACCGATTTCTGCTCGACCCCCCAAAAAACGCTCGCCCCCCCCCCCGAAAAACGCTCGACCAAATCCCTTCTTCCATCCAGAGGAAGGCGGGATTGTTACATTTTTTAAAATTGCACTTGTTTGCGGATATTTGCGCTCGTTTTGCGGATATTTGCGCTCGTTTTGCACTTTGATTTCTGCTCGCTCCTTTTGAATATTCAGCGACCGATCATCTTGGAGGACCGACCAGCCCGGTTTTGGGAAAAACGCTCGAAGCAGGAAAAAGTGTACGTTTACCATATTTTGGTGACGACCCCTGGTTTTGCAATACGTTTGGGCTAAGGGCAGAAATTTATGTAACGAAGGGTGCTCCAGGTATGTATATATATATATATATATCGATCTATCTATCTATCCATCTAGAAACGCATGTCTGCTGAACGGCTGCATCAGACACGTGCCTGAACCAGTGGAGCTCTGGCCATCATCCGACCTATGCACAGCTTCAAAGATGCCCCTACCAAACGTTTTGTGCGGGGGCGCAGCCGCTCAGCCCATTTGAGAGAGAATCCGGATCGTGTTTGTTAGCAACAGCCAACTAAATACTCATCCGTGGAGGCTTTTGGGGACCCAAGGCGCATCACCATCATTGCTTCACGGCCAACCTCCTACACTTGCTCACCTGTTGGTTGCCGTTGACGCCTCTGCAAAAAGCTTAGCTTGTTGTGGGATTAATGGACAGCCCTTGACTTCCGAAAAAGTTAAAGACACATCCAGCCGAATAGCAATCAAGACCTGCTCCCATCGGTTCGACATATCCACACATGCAGCACTCCGATTTGGTCAAAAGATCCCCTCCTTGACGTGGGGTGGGCGATTCTCAAAGGCAAGGCTTCCCTAAACCCCCAAGAGGCTGACCTGAGCCAGCTGGCCCGCAAAGTTCAACACTTTTCGGGCGGTAACAAACATGGCGAAAAGGGGATGAACACAAGAAAGGTGCTGAAGGTAGGGGTCTTCTAGTCGATTTCTGAAATGGTGTGCCAGTTGTACATCACCTCACCGCTCGTTGGCGATTTTGTCTTCGACGGGGCGTGCCTTCCTCAGTTTCAAGTCGTCCATCGAAACCAACCATCATCTGCTTCCCTCTTGGGTCTGGCTTGGTGGTTTGGAGGGGTGGCGTCTCTCCAAGATCCAAAAACTCAACTCCAAACCGCCAACCTGTCTCCCACCGATTGGGATCCATAGGGCTCCTAGCGGCTGCAGGATCCGCCCCGTGCCACTGGCTTGCCTTAGGACGTCGCAAATGCCATGTTCTTGGCATCCAGTGCAACTTTGGGACCATTCGGGTCATGTTGGGGGACACCTTTTCTCGGTTGCTTTCTGCTCCCGTGCTAAAAAAATAACTTTTAGTGGTTTAATGGAAAACCCATTAGTTCGAAAAAAAAAGTTAAAGTCCTAACATCCCTTGGCAAAATGCGCCAAAATCTTTAGCTCTAGGGGTGAGATTCCAGGAGCAAGCCCTCCGATTCCAATTCGCACGGAATCGGAATGGACATTTGAACTGCATCGAAACGATTGGTGGGCAAACAAGGAGTCATCATATCCGCGCATCGAATTGGAAGGAATCCCTAAGGGACCTTCGCACGAATGGGCCTTGGCGCCCGCGCGTCAAGGCGCACGCGTAGGAACAGCCCCCCCTTTTTTCGGACTAACCATGCTTAGTGGGGAACCTACCAAAGCAAAACAGAAAAAAGGGTGCCACAGAAACAACTGAGAGCAAGCCCGAGCAAGAATTGAGTTGGAGATCGTAAAGCCAACCTCAAACGAAGCATCCGGGCATTGAGCACACAAGCTCTCGCCTCACGCCTGACAGCAAGCTGCGTGAGGCAAATGGATGGCTTTGACCAACTTTGACCGGTTCCACAAGTGGCCGATTGGGTCATGGTCACCATGGCCCCCTCAACAGGAGAGTCATGATCATCGTTCAGGATCCTTCCCATGGTGCACCAGGTGGACCACCCCTTCCTTCACCCCAAGTGAGTCATAATCAAACGTCGGCATTTAAATGGCCTACCCAGAGCCAAAGAATTAAGAAGGCGGCCGCAACCATCTATGGCTGGGATTGCCCCTTGCTACTACCGGAGTTTTGATTGTGACTCAAGTGAAGGCACCGAGAACCGGTGGTTTCATCATGGCACCTAGGGGCCTAGGGCTTCCGCGAGTCCGACTCCAGGCTGCCATCGTTGCTGACGGAAGTGGAGTCCTGAGACAGCCGCTGCGTTTCTTTTTCGTCCTCGCCACGTGGGCTGAAAGGTCCAACTATCAAACCCGGGATAAGCAAGCAAACATCCTGCAGGAACGGAGGGTAAGTACTTCACACGCTCAGCATGGGACCCAGAACCAGCATTCCCATCTTATCAACCCGGGTTGATTTCCCCAGCTTGGGGCCAGAGTTGGTTTCTGCGAGGTCAGCCGCCCAGACAACCAAACAGCGGAGGCCTCTACTTCCCCGGCGTTTTGAGTTTTGAGGCTGCCGCCAAGTCCCCCAGGATGCGGTTGTACTCATCACTGCTCGCACTGGCAGTGCTACCCGCAAAGCTTCCTGGCCCGTGGTGCTCCGGCGGCTTTGAGGCTGACTTGTTCAAGGATGGCTGGAAGGGAAACCCAAATTGAAGGATTCCCGCATTTTGACACATGCCCATGCTTAAGTCGCAATAACCACCTGGGACTCAAGTGGTCTGCTTACAATTATGTTAAGCAAGAAGGTAGATGTCCCTTGCACTTCACTGTGTTGCGGCTGTTTCTCGCAGGCCCCGCGGAGCTCATGTTCGAACATGGCTGTCAATAAAGCAGGCAGGGCGGCAGAGGCACAGGCAACATGAATCACTTATCTCCCCTCAAACGTAAGCCGCCACAATGGATTCTACAAGAAAAACACTCAACACAAGCCACGGACTTTGAGCTCGAAACCCCCAGCTCCGCAAAAATGACAAAAATCGGCAGAATTGAATCACCATGAGTCGGGCCATGGAAGCGTTGCTCGCGTCAGCCCCTTCGCGCCTTGGGACCCTTGGGGTCTAGCACTGCCCTGTGGCCTCCAGTGGCGCAGGCGCAAATGGACCAACAAATCCGTTCCAGGAACCTCTTTTCCAGGCGAACGACCAGCAAAAAGTCAGCAAGCCATCTTCCCTCGAAAATACTTGGAGGAAAAGGCGCCATTTTTGAGCTCCATGTACATCTGCAGGGGTGCGGGGTACAGTTCCTGTCGCATCAACAACGCTGGAAGCTTCTCTTTGACATTTGGCCTTTTCCGTGTTTGACATTCGGAGGGGTGCAACCTCCCTTCAACAAATGAAGCTGCAGGGCAAGTGACGCTTAAATATTATTGGAAGAAGCGCAAGCCTCCAGCATGAACCAATAGAATGCTTCATGGCATCCTTTGCCGAGACCTTCGAGAAGTCTTAGTCACTAAACACCCCCATCTTCAGCCACATCCTGCGAATCCGCCCGTTGGTGCACACTCTGGACACCCCTCGCTTCCCTGCCCTGGGTTCAACTCCGAGTGACCAGTACCTCACTGATGTTCTGGGGCTGGGGGCCCTCAAACTCCTGGGCCCTGCAAGGATCTGCCTGGTCAACCCATCCCTTGGTCAAAACCTGAGCAGCCCCACATGCTGAAGTCTTGGTTCGGCCTGGCGGGGCACGTGGCAGGCGTCCAGCTGCGGGCGAGCTTGGGCTCATTGATGTGCATGGTTTGTTTTTTCAGAGGGTTGGACTACAGGAAAATCTACAACCGCTTTGGGGTGTTTTGGGGCCATTTCATGTAGATTTTCGTGTAACCCAACCCTTTGAGTTCTGTTTTACAATATGTCCAAAACGAACGAACGAAATTCAAGGCCTCTGAGCACTGACGCGACCTTTATGTCCACCTGAACTGAGGGATCCCCAAGAAAAAAACCTTTACTCTGAAGCCCTCAGAGGCGTGATTTAGCACATTCCCGTCCAAGCGAAATACGCGTGATCATTTTTCATCTTCTGGCACTCGGAGCAGCTCACTCGCCAATCATTTTAGAAAGCCGAAAGAAAGCTTCGTGCAACCCGAGCCTGAGCGACTGAGTTGGGGTGCCTGACATTGTTGAGTGACCCGATCGCTTCCCGTCTGTGCCTGGGTGGCCAGAGAGTGTGCAAGTTAGTTGACCTGAAAACAAAATCTATTAAAGTTCCAGTCACTCAGGGGCAAATGCTTTTGTTGTTTAAAAACAAAAAAACACTCTAGGTCCCTATAGGCCGCCACTGCTCACGCAGCACCATCATATCTAGAAAAAACCAACTTGGGCGTGCAAAGAAACATCACAAGAGCCTCGCATCATACGTCTTTCTCAAAATGCAAAAACCTCCAGCTGCCCGGTGTTCTGTTGGTTTCCCTTTAAGTCAACCCTCCCCCCCAAAAAAAAAACACATAAACAAAAAAACACAGAATATAGGCCGCCTCAAACACACCGACCCCCCCCCGCTTTGGGCCCCATGCCCACCAGGCCTGCCGAGCATGCTGGTGGTCAGCGCACCCTGCGGGAAGTGCAGCCGATTCTCCAGCACCTGGCCGGCATCGGAAAATCGGAGCACTGAAAACGAATGGTCTCCTTTGGCTAGGTCCTCCAGTAGAGAGGTTAGAATAAGTTGGCAAGCTGGGGGACGTAGTTGGTCCTCCTTGAAAAAACGACCCCAAGAGCGACCCGTCTAAAACATGCACCCAAAATAAAAACGGGGGAAGAAGGTGTTGAAAGCTTTTGCTGTTCATTTGAGAGGGACCCCCTGAAACAAGGGAGCGAAGCGAACTGGAGGCCCGGATGCCACCCGCTGTACCGCACCAAGCGCGGCTAGGGCACGATGGGCCCAAGCTGGGATAGCATCAGCGCCGCCAGCGCGCCCTACATGGCGGACTCAAAACGCAAAAACGTCCCCCTGGGTCAGACTAAAATTGGGTGGTGCACCTACCCTAAAATGGTCATTGCAATACAACCATCCTCACAAAATGCCAAGGGCACCTAGGAGTACCTATGGGGTGGTTGCTCTCTTGGACAATTGCCAGCCCATTGCTGTACATACTGTGTTCTGGCTTACCCCTGCACTTTCATGCAACATTTGGGAGGCTGTCCAAATGATATACCCTTCTATACCATTTGCTAACCCCCCCCCCCACCCAAAACGCCACCACATGTTTTACCGAACCGAGATTAAGCTCTCAGAAAACCTCGTTCTCGAAGTTTCCAACAACGTGCCAAAACTCGATTGAGATTTAAGTGATGCCGCGGCCAAAAACAAACAGGAAGGACACAGCAAAGGAGAACCTTTGTTGGCAAGGCCCCAAAGGACATTTCTTCAGACTGAGTCTGCAGGGTTCGAGGCAGGCTAGGGATTTGGGACGGCTGGTGCCGAGAGCTGCAAGCTCACCCTTCGTGGGAACCTAACCAGGGCTGAGAGTTCGAAGCATTGTTGATTCATGGTTTGTTTTGAGAATCCGGAGCGGCAAAGGCATGCTCAACGAGATCCGTGGACCTCGCTAGTTGAACCATCTAGCTAAGGCCTCAGCTAGCGAGGCCCCAAGTGGTTTTCGTTTGCCTAAGTCCACTGGACAAAATGAGCAAGGTGTTTCCAGTAGTGAATAATTCCCTTCAAAACCAACAAGTTAAACAAATAATGATAAGAAAAGCACATTCTTATGCAACAAACAACAACAACGGGATTCAAAAAAAACAAAACAACACATATTCTTAAGCAAACGCAAGAATGGGTTGCCCTGATTTCCTCCGATTTCCTAGGCCAAGCCGTCCATCTCGATCCTGGCATGGCAGCGGCTTCGCCACGGAGCGGACCTCGCACCCCGCTCGAGAACTCTGCGAGGGGCCCGGGGTCCCGGACCCCGAAGGGGGAAAGTCATTTGCCTGGACGGGAGGAAAGGAGCTATACAGGTGTCTTAGCCGAAAACTTATAGCCATTCTAGCTAAGGTTTGATGTTTCTAGCTATAAAGGCTTGATTCCTTTTCCATTCTCTTCATTGTTCTCTTTAGAAACCACCCATTTTTCAAGGGTTTGGCCCCCTTTTTTGAAGAGAAGGTTCCGTGAAGAGAATGGGAGGGTACAGCCAAAAATGTCCCCAACTTGTGGTAAAATGGACATTGTTTGGAACCCTTTGCCCAATTCTAGTTTAGTTGCGTAAGATTATAGGAGTATGGAGTGAGGATTCGTTTTGACACTTGCCAAATGATTCCCTCTCCCTACCAATCAGTGCACCCAGCAGGCACATAACATGTGTCCAAGACCAACCCCGATACTTGCTCTAACGACTTTTGGGCTGCTTTTTCAAGGAAGCAACTATCTATTTTGTAATTCGCATGCAATGCGATTGCAACATGTATAGCGCCATCCCCAATTCTGAATGTCATGTTTACTCTGCCAAAGATCGATTTACTTGAATGGTCGGCAAAAGTTGACCTGATTTGGCAAGGAGGCCATGGACCACGCGGAGCCACCAGGGAAGTTCTTGCCAGGAACCCCCAGAATTGTGACAGTTCCTTTTGGCTCAGGTTTCAACTGAAACCCAAAAGAAACAGCGCCCTCCAATAAACAAACACACAGCCCGTAAAGAAAGTTGAATCAGTCCGATAAGCACGCTGCAGCTATCCTGCACATGGGGCCCAGGTAGCGATTGAAATAAGGGTGTGACTCTTCTTGCTTTTGTGTTTGAAGGGGTGGGGTCGTTTTGGTTGCAAAGCGAAACCAGGGCATCCCCCTAAAAAATGCACAAACCAATTCGAGGTTCCGGCATCGCACAGCCGGTACCTGGCAAAAATGGGGGTTGGGCACGATTTGGCGCATGGGCAATGCCGCACCGAAACCTCTCCCGAAACGCGCACATCATCCATAAGCTTCTCTGGCTTGTTGCCAATGATGCCTGCAGCGACCTGGGTAGCAAGCCATGCATGTTGGACCGGTACTCAAGCAAGAAAGGCAAGCAGAAGGCCGGGAAAGCTCTGCAATTGCCATCCAATGCTTGTCGGCCAACATGGAGCTCCCAAATGCGCATTCAGAGATGAGCAGCAGGTGGCAGTGAATGTAAAGCAGCCAGGGCCCTGGCTGTAGCCGTCTCTGCGTGCCGTCTGGAGTGTCCTTGGCATGTTTGTTTCAACATGCGCAGGTTGTTAAAAAAAATGCTTCTTGGCCCTGGGCTGCTTCAGGCACAAACCCTTCACCTAGCCTGACACTGAATACTCCTTCTCCTCGAAAATCCGGGGAGTTTTAGGCTGCTCACATATGTCCAGCGCAAACAACCGCAACTTTGCCGCATTAAAACCCGCCAATCGCTCGCAAGAACCCATGGATGAAATTCAGACACCTCGCTTGCCTTCTGCTCCCCTGCTAAAAGTTTCACTTTTAGTGGTTTCATGGAAAACCCATTAGTTGGCAAAAAGTTAAAGTCCTAACATCCATTAGGATCCTCAGCACTGCAGCCGTTCAAACGGCCGCAGTGCGGCCTCCCAAGGCACACACCCACGCCGCGCTCTGCACCCAGCGTGACCGACGACCTCAAGCATGGGCAAAAAATCACTTGGCGGTTTTGATTTGTTGGGGGAATTTTGTCGGGGGTATTTTGTTGGTTTCGCAGGGCCATTCCGGGCCCTATTTTGAGACCCCACGTTGTTTGGCCAACAGGGGGTGAATATCTGGGGCGTGTGTGTTTTGTTCTGGGCTATTGTTGGGAGAAGGGTTTAATTTCCCCATGTCCCTCAGTCCATGTGGAAGGGGCTTCGGGCTCTGGAGCCCTTCCGACTGAAGCGTTTGGCCCTGGTACCCGCTGGAGCATGGCCTTGCCAAGGCATTGCCAAGGCAAGTCCCAGGCAAATTGCTCCAAGTTTGCAGCAGCTGCTCACTTTCAGCAAGTTTCTTTCGGATGAGCCATGTTTTTCAGGACTTCTATTTTCGCGTGCTGCATTTGACGCAAGGCATGTCCAGACTTCCACGAGATTACGAAAGGTGTGCATGGTCTTAAAGTGAAACACTGCTATCGCGCTATTCTTGGCATGCGACCAGCACTCACGGCGCTCGAGCATCAGAGTGCGCGTTCAGTTGCTTTTAGGCGACCAGCAGCCGATCGTCGAACGCTTTTCTGCATCCCACATGGGCTCCAAGGTCCCTTTCACCATCAAAGACCAAAAAAAAAACGATATCGCCAGCTTGGTTTTGCAAGCTTTGTGTGGGCAAAACCCGCGACTGCTGCACGTCACGTTTGAGATGACAGGGAAAAACATTCGCTGCCTCACCGGATTGTTGAAGTGATTGGCGGTGATGTCAAAATTAGCCACGAAAGTGAAAGTGCTTGGTTTACTGGCAGTCTTGGGCCAAATATGGAAGACAAGCCACCTTCCCAAGATAGCAGCTGTGATGACTGATGGTGGGCAAGGCTCTATTCCTCTATTCATTCTAGCCACGCCTCTTGCAATCCCAAATCTCATTCATTTCACTTCCTGATTTTGTCCGGGGCTTCAAATGGAAACCAACTTTCTGCGGGTTGGTTGCGAGCCAATCCTCAGGCGCGCCGGCCCCGAGACATTGACGCTGCCAATCTGGACCCGTGGCCGGACACCCGTGACATGTTCCTGCACAATTTGGATGAGACGCAGAAACCTGACTCAACTAACACGCAGCACCGCCCTAAGGTTGGTAGCGACCCAAAAAGCATCAGAGTATATCATGGGCCGCAGAAACCATCGCGCGACGGTAGTCTCGGCAACTCGCCCTCGCTGGGCCGAGAAGAGCGGCTGGGGAACGCAGTCACGCAATGCGTCATATTTTGACTTTGACAGCGCTTCCGCGATCTCAGCCAAGCAGTTCCTCCACCAACGCAAGGGCTCTCACATGCTGCTCGCAGTAGGTAAGTGTTCCAGGTGAGGCCATTCATTCAACAACCAATCTGGCGTTTCGTGACGACTGTGTGGCCCCGTCACAGATCCACGAGGCGTTTTGCGTGATCACACTCCAATTCACCGCAACTGCTGAATGAGCCATAGCGCAATGGCACATGAAATTGCCGCAAAAAACTTGTTGCGCGCATGACCAAAAGAAACTAAGCGTCATTTGAGGTTGCAGTCCACTGTTCCGCTCCAACCTTGATACTGCATTTCCTGGCTCTAAAGGGCAAATGCGCAGTAGAAATCGATATGGAAACCACCCGCCCCATTTCTGGGGCTGCAGTGGCGCCGGCTAGCGCAGGGGATAAAGACTTTAAGCACCTGCAATGCGCCCACCGCGCAGCACCTCCCCTTCACACCGTGTCAATACCTTCCAACTGGCGACCCAAATGCTGCCATAAAAGGCATCATCCGACAGCCCGGTATCACACGGCAGCATTGCCACGGGGAGGCTTGAGCTGCAGATTGGTGGAGAAAACAGCAACCGTGTAGCATTCATGAAGGGCTCAGGGCATGCACAGGTATGGGCAGTCAACTTTCAACCAGACCGCCTGTAACACACGGCGACAAGGGATCACACCGAGCCCGCGGCGGAATTCCTTGCTGCGGCTCAGCTGGTCAAACCACTCCTGGCGTGAAAGTCAACCTCCTTTCCGCAGATTCCTTGGGCATGATTTGCAGACACAAATTTAAAAAAAAAAACAAGTTGAGTGCGCGTGCGTGTCAAAACAGAGGGACCCCCCAAATGTGGCGCTCCTTTGAGCTCATGCAGAGCCAACCTGCAAGGGAACCTCCGAGAAAGACGCAAACCCATGGTGTTGAAGCCTCCGTGCCGCTCAGAACTCACGTCTAGGGGCGATTTTTCTCCCCAGGTTCAACAGGAACCGGGGTTCAAATCCCAAACCAATCCAAACCACCAACCTGCAACACTCTTTCCCACGTATTCACTCTCATGTCCCTTCTCCTTTCTATGATGTACTGACCCATCTACGACTTGTCCGTCTAAGAATGCTTTATCCCAAATCCAGAATGTAACTAATAATTTGAGATTCATATGTAAGACAAAGAGATGAATTGTAGCGAATGATTATGTTCGTCCTACATGCTAATCAAGTAGTTCTATGATATTTCTATCTCTATACCCTTCGCTTTCCTATCATCTAACTTTGGGGGTCGCTTGCCAAGACCCAGAGCCGAGATCGGGTTCGTTCCGCCGCGCCATGCCGCTGTAGACGTCGACGTCTGTGGATGCCAAGCGTTGCCCCTGCCGGCCCTGTCGCGGCAGCACCTGAACAAAAGAACGAAGCCATCGAATGCGCAGAGTCAAAGATGGTTGTGTGTGTGTGTGTGTCACCTGTTTTAGCTTTTGTAGGGACAACCCCCCCAACCCCCCAAAACAAGGGAAAGAACTTGGGCGGTTGCACTGATAACTTCTTTTGCCACCAAAGAAGGGGAGCTTCAACAAAGAACGCGCTCATATGGACTGTCTCACACAGAAGAACCCTCATTAGCTTGAGTTTACGTGACCCAAATCTTGACAGCCTCGTGACATGACACACCCATGGTTTAACCAGAGCCATGGAAGTCAAGACTACTCAGAGTTGCGCACGTGTGGTCGAACTAACGGACCCTAAAATGGCCAAACGGTTTCCGTTTGGCTTCAACTTCGACCAGGGGGCAAGCCCCAAAGCAAGAACCAAATGCGCCTCCCAGACAACCAGCAGGCTCATAGCATCACCGCTGGAGAAAAGAAACACGTGTGGCACGTCCCCAGGTTTTTGATATATTGCTTCGGCCTGCACTACCCATGGGGTCAAAACTCATGGGCGCCCTTTCGTTCAAGAAGGGCTCCGGTGTCTCCTTGAAGGCTTGCTCTGGGACGCTGGCGGCCAGCAGAAGCTGCGCACAATGACAAGTGAACTCCTCCGGGCGCTCAGCGAATTCGACCCGAGCCCAGTGGACATGAGTTCCAAGCTTACCTTGCTATGCAACTACTCACGTGACGCGCATTTCCAGAAAAATGACAGTCCTCAGGGCGGTCTGAGATGGATGAGCTCGGCGATGCCTAAGCCGGTCCCCACAAACCTGACGAGCCCATGTGCCTATCTCGCGCCTTTTCCCATTTCCCCGTACCCCTGAGATCACTACCTTGATCCCCTGCCATCCCGCCAAAGGCCTTGCTGTGAGTTCTGGTGGCACGGTACCGGCCATTCGCCTTGATGTGAACTGAGGGCCGGGCCGGGCTAATGCGCCTGGGAGGGCGCGAGCCAACGCCTAAACTTTAAGACTGCTTGGAGGACAACCCCAAGAAACAGTCAAAGAAACCAACATCAACCCCACCGGGTAGCAACTTGCAACCCGACTACCAGCGACCAGAAAATAACAGACCTCAAACTTTGATGTCTGCCCGGCCACCTAAACAAACAATAAATCACCTGGTTGGTGCCAAAAACCTCCAAAAACCTCAGGAGCTTGATGACCATCCCTGCCAATCCCCAGCAGAAGAAACCCCGTGGCATGCCTCAGCTGAGGCTCCGGCCACCCACGGCCCAGCGGAGGAACCGGCCGCTGCACCTGCCTCAGCCAACGCACCAGGCGACGGCCAAGGTGGCGCTCGGCGGTCGCAGGCGCACGGCTCCCAAGGAGTTTTTTTTTTGTTTCACCTCAACACCCTCCCCGCTTCTTTGTTTCTTTGCAAACCCGCCTGGATGCCTATATATTAACATGTGCATACCATGGTATGTCTATATATACATATATATATATATATATATATGTACGTTCATGCATTCATAAATGTAGACCTATGTATATATATATATGTCAAGAGACGGCAAGGTGACGTCCCGTGGGACGCTATGCACCGAACCCTCAAGCTGTAATACCAACCACGTAGAAAGGTGTATACGGACGATGCCGTTATAGCCGAACCCGTGTAAACGTTGTAAGGGAGAAGGAATGATAGTTACAACAGTGGTCCTGACAAATGCAGCGCAAGCAGTTGTTTTCGCTCTTAATGCCGATCACGTAGGTATGCAGTCACACATCAGATCTTGAACCTCAATTGTGTCTTGAGCCAAATGGCGATCAATGGAACTTGGGAAGCAACACCAACAAGGACCTCAGAACAGCTACCCAATTTCGGCACGGGGCCTAGAGGGTTTTAACATCCCCCATTTGGGTCGCATTGTTCATCATGCGGTCCAAACACCACAAAACGTTCCACTGGCCACGGCTTCAACTACGAAATCGTGTCGTGCATTCTTTTACTTGCTATCACTACACCGTTCATTCGCTGTGAAACATGCCGGGTTCGATTGTACGAAAAGTGAAACATTCATCCTCCAATCGAAGCACACATCCATATGCAGGTGTATATAATACACTGTGGCCACTTCACTTGACCGCCAGTGAACATTCCAGCTGCCGCATTTGCGCATCGCGCAGCTGTCATCCATAAATGGGTTGGCCACAAAAGTCCACCAGACGCGCCCGCTTGTGATCGGTCTGCATATCTCCGGCAAAGAAACATCGGTGAGTAATCAATGCAAATCATAGCCATTCCAGATACCATGGACAATGCATAAATAATGAAAAGATATCATCTATAAGGTAATAGTTCCATCCATGAATATCCAGAGCGTCATAGTCATCGGAATATGTAACCATGTACACATCCATTCAACTTGGATATATGAAATCATATCATAATGTAAAGTCGTTCCGTCGCAATGGTGTTGATGAGACGCAAGCAACAGATGGGGACTAACCCACATCGTGCCGCAATCAGCATCTTCACTACGCATACCGGTCCCCAATGGACAGTCTGTGAGTGCGTCGACGGAACTCCTCGTCCAAGTTCTTCTGGGCTTCTCGTGCCCGGACACACTTCTTGTTGTAGTCCTCTGGCAACCAGTGCCCTTTCCGAAGGCACCAATCCAGCAGGGGTGTGTCGCATTTGTTCGGGTCGACGGCCGAGATGATGGCGCTCACGTTGACCGTGTAACCATGTTTGCCAAGGTTCAGGCCATCCCTCACGAATGATATATACTTACAGTTGAAAGCTAGTGCAAAACATCTGAAAATAATATCACCCACCGGGTGCACTCGGTCCTTGACCAGGAGCTTCATTTCTTCCTTGGTGACATCGAGGATTCTCGCTGCAATCCACAGCTTGTAGAATGTGTAAAGTCCCTCGCATTTGCACACCATCATACGAATATATTCGTCACGCTCCTCAACCGATCGGAAGGCTCTTGTCCGAACATTCTCCGACTGAGAAATCTTCGTTATTGTTGATGGCAATAGTATACCTTCCTGATCGTGCTCAGTGATGTTGGGGTACCTCTTGAAATCATTGTGGTAAGGGCAGCCCTCTCTCCCCTCGAGCTTGGCATTCATCGTTCTCTCCTCACCACCCTCGAACATCCCCCACATCTTGGACATCTGGAGTGCGATAAATCCTGCCATGTACTGAGCCTCACGCGGCTCGTCAAGGCAGATCGCCATCCGTTGGGAACTTATAATGTCCCGTGACGCCAGATCGGTGTCGCGGTAATGCCAACCGCTGTCTTCTTCTTCTGACGCATAGCCGGATGTATATCCTTGCGTGTCCATGTCGTCATCTTCTCCCGGAACTTCCTCCGCTTCGTCTTCATCCTCCTGTGCTGCCGCATCGTGGTTAGCTTCTTCCTGTGCACGCCTGGCATCTCCAGAGACGTTGGGGTTTTGGTTGTCCTCCTCGTCATCGGATTTGATGTGAATGTAGTATCTTCCGATGGAGATCAGTTGTGCTTCGCACTCCAGGCATAAGCAGAAGCAGGTGGGGATCGCGGTCGCACATGATGGACATATCCGGCACCTCAGTCCTTCCCATGTCTCGTCATTCAGGATGACGACTTTGCTGATTTCGTCCCGGACCTCGTTGACCTGTGCATTGAACTCCTCCATCTTGTTGTTTCGATAGAGTTCGCAGGCACGATTAACCATGTCAACGATGTAGTGCAGATTATCGGCACCTGTCTCAGTCTCCGGCATCCTCTCGCTGATCTTTGCGACGTTCTGGAGGAACATCGCAGCCGACTCTTGGGAAGAGTTGACAAAGCCAGGGCAGATCTCGTTCTCCACACACTTCGAGTACGCCCTCTTGATGTCAGCGTACTCCAGGCGTTTCCCTCCGTTGCTTTTGCCAATCCAAATGGACTTGACCTCATAGAACGGGATCACGTCAAAGACCATGAAAGTCCCATTAGCCGCGACTCCAGCCCCATACCGCGCGAGGGTTGCACTGGGAATATAGATGATCGCAATCGGATCCCCTCTCCTCACGTTCCGTAGCGTTGTCTTCGTCGCCACGTTCATCTCATCCCATGGAGCAAACGCCCCGAAGTGCAGTGCTAGCCTGTTGCCGCCATCGATTCCGCCGGGGACTAACCCACAGCGTACGATGCTTGGCAGGTTTTCCACATACGTCACATGGAATGCTCCTCCGAGAGAATCACCCATTCTTGCGGAATACCTATTCGCCAGTGCGGATGAGCTCATGAATCCAAAATCACTGTGACCGGTTGTGACTCGGATGCACCAAGGTCTGTACCATCCATCGCATCTGTTGAACATCCTGTCGATGTCGTCCCGATCCACGCCAGCTTCGGTCATTTCCTCCCTGGCTGCCCTCGTGTCGTTCGGGTTCATGATGCTCGGAAACCTTGCTGCCAAAACCTGGAATCTCGATTTTCTGCTTCCGGATTCCTGCCACTTGATCACCTCCATGATGCCCATGTATCGTTTCGCTCTCGTGGTGTATGGTGGGAATATGTCGTTGTTCCGGTCGTCAATGACAGCATCAATGTCGACCCATCCACCCTCGTCGCACCTGAAAGCACTTCCTCGGCAATTGCCGATCTTGTGTCGAAGGACTCTGCATAGGTCGTGAGATAGCTGGTTTGCTTGGTCCCTTGTAGTAAATACCGAGCGATCATCACCAATCCTGCATAGTGGAGCACCGTCGAAAGGAGCAATGCAGAAGTTGACACTCTTGCCAAGTTGCATCACGTCCACTTGCTCAAGGATTGCACCTTTGGGAAAGTATTTGGGGTCAACGATGGACGCATACGCCCATGGCAAGTGCACATCACTCACATCGCCATACTTCGGGATGTAGCACGGGATGGTGTCGCATCCCATCTCAAGCGTCTTCTTGAATGTCCTGTTGTCCCCGCACGGGTTGTAGGTGAGGTCGACGCCACCACATTGTAGCTCTCCTCCCTCAGCCGTGTCAGCCATTTCCACCAAATTAATGGTGTAGCTGTACATCTCAATTGTTTCTTTCCCTGCTTGTCCCCCTTTCTTTCTTTCCTTGGACGTTGATGAGGACGGTTCCTCCGTATCCCCCATGTCTTCATCAGATGAAACAGGGTCACTGCTGAGTAGCTCACGGAGCACCTTCATCGCCTTCTCATTTCCAGCAGCCTCTTCAATGTCCTTGCAGTCGCCGTCGTGGGCCAGGTTCGCGCACTTCTTACAGATCCCCATATCTCCCATGCACTTCTCCATTGACTCCAGGAATCCTAGTGCCGCTCTCCGCCCGTCGATCACTCGCTGCTTCTTGTCTTCCTTCTCAGCATTGGTTTGAGAACTTCGACTCGGGTCTGGTGCTTGACCAAGACCCTCATCTTCGCCCTCCGTGGCCTTTCTCTTGGAACCTTGTGCAGAGGGCTCGGTGATCAGGGATCGTGGATGTCTGGGCTTGACCTTGTTCATGATGTCAAGCACCTCCTTCGTGGGCACGCCGAGCTGTGCGGACGGTCTGTTCCGCTTTCTGTTCTGGCCCGTCGTGTGGGTCACGTTCCCAGCGAGGTGTCGCACTATTGACTGCTCGAACTCCCTCTTGATCTTCCATGCATCCTTCCACAGTGGTAGTTCGTGCTGGAAGTACGACATCACCTCAAAGAATCCCAACACCATCTCGACGACGTCTCCCAAGGATTCCTCGTTCGTGGTTTGTCCCAGGAGTTCATACATCGTTCCTTGGTCGAGCACACTCTTGATCCAGGACGAATATGCCACATTGCCAAGATCCTTGCCTATCACGAAGATGGACATCCTCTCCTCGACTCCCTCGGAATTCTTGCACACGATCACATCCCGGGATGCGCACAATTGCTTCCCGTGACCGTTGTTGTAGAACTGCGCTGCTTGATCCACAGTCATGCTCACGAATCCCACGTGAGAAAGCTCCTTCTTCAGCCTTGAATACGCGAGCTCCCGTATGATCGTGATCATGGCCTGGATATTGTTGACGTCCACCATGAGGTTTTGAAGGTCGGGGATTGCCACCACGCATTCCGCGAAGAGGCGCGTGTACATTTTCTTCCCCTCGATAGACATTGCAATACCGTTCGTGTCCGCGTTCCAGTTCGCGCAACAGTTCACGCAAGAAGAGGGATTGTACTTCGAATTCGGTCCGAGCACCTTCGACTTGCTCATCTGCATCTCTTTAGCGCAAAGTTCGCAGATAAACTTGCTGAGCTCCGTGACCGTATACCATCGAAGACGTTGATCACCGACATCGGCTTT